AAAAAAAAAAAACTCGTATGGGCCCCTGGTGTACGAGTAGCGTACGAGTACAAGAGTGCGTACGAGAGTACAAGAGTGCGTACGAGTAGTGTACGAGTAGAAGAGTACGAATCCATACTCGTACAAGGGTCGTACAAGTGGCAACGTAGGGATCCGTGCAAAAAACTTCCTTTTTTAACATCCATGTCTATTGCATCTCAACAACTTCTACTATCTTGCCCCCCCATCCTCTATGCGGGTCCACTTGTTTTCTATAAAATAGTCTTTAGGGCTTGGCACTACGGCCTTCACCCGAGTAGAACGCCCGTTCATTATTGCCCTATCTGGACTGAATTTTGCACCAAATACAGCTATAATGTCCGGGCGTTCTCTTCAGGTGCAGACCGTCGCGGTATAATGCACTGGGTGCGGGGTACACTGCTGAGATCGTGCATGTCCAGTGCCCTCCCCAAACCTTCGCGAAATTGGCCAAGGATCCGACGGACCGACCCCGAGAGAGAGAGAGAGAGAGAGAGAGAGAGAGAGAGAGAGAGACAGTTGCTCCTTTTGTGGATGCATCTGGCATGACGTACTACGGCGAAAACTGATCGTGAACGTCCTTTCGTGAGTATACCATCACTTTCTTTTTTTCTTTTTTTATTCCTTCTATTTTCTGTTCTTTTGTTAAATTTAACCCATTTCCCGATTTATCTTCTCAAAAAAAAAAAACCTCTGTATCGTTCCAATTTTAATGGATGTCCCGAAGGACATGACCTTTTTTTTTTGTGTTGGTCTGTTTGTGTCAGTTTGAGAAGAACCACGGCGATCGCAGGACGACCGGGGTCTGGTCCCATTAAGAGAGAGGACTGGGTTTCATTCATGAATCTGGATGTGTCTTGCACAGAGATGTAGAAAAGCATACCAATCGCAATTCTCTGCATCTGTCCACAAACACGTCCACCTTCAGGCATTAAATCCAATCCTCTTCGCTCATGGGACGAGGCCCTCGACGACACTCATTTGAGCACCGCTGCAGACGAAGCAAGACCCGGGCGATGGATACTCATCGAAAACGTGTCGGAACCCAAGAGCCTAGCTCAGTGGGGACCACACACCCATGAACTGTTGAAAATACAGACCCGTGTTCGATACCAGATGATGGAACTTGATGAAAACGTGTCGGACGGTAAATGAGGCTATCATCGAGTCCCTCGGGACATCCATTAATATTGCAACGACACAGAGAGAGAGAGAGAGAGAGAGAGAGAGAGAGAGAGAGAGAGAGAGAGAGAGAGAGAGAGAGAGAAGGGTGATTAGCATGGCCCGCTAATCTTCCTCAGCGCCTTAGAAACAGAAGCTTCGAGAGACCAACGGTGCGACTTCGACCAATGACAGGTTAGGATGATTTTTTAAAATAATTTTATTATTATTATTATTAATATTATTATTATTATTATTATTATTATTATTTTTAACGGTTAGGATGGATCTACTTCCCTTGCCACACGGACAAACACGCAGACAAGGATGAATCAATCATATGACGAGGGCGCCTTAGTTAACGTGTGAAGGTGTTACATGCTACTCAACTGGAGTTAACTTTTTTTTTTTTTTTTTTTTTTTTCCTGTTT